TCCATGAATGCTACAAGTTGTTTGGCATACGAAAGACCAGAACAACGCCATTTCACCCACAGTCTGATGGAATGGTAGAAAAATACAATTGGACACTGGGACTGAAATTGACAAAGTTTTGTAATAGTCACCAAGATGACTGGGATGTCTTACTCCCTCCACTGTTGATGGCCTATAGAACAGCAGAGCAGGAAGCCACTGGATACCTCCAGCAAAGTTGATGTTTGGTCGGGAACTTAGGTTGCCAGTGGATCTGTTAACAGGACGCCCACCTTACGAAGAGTTGCCTGAAAATGTGTCAGAGTTCGTGAAAGTGTTATCGGAAAGGATGGATAATATTCAACATCAAGTGTGTTCAAATATGAAAACGTCTGCTGATTCCATGAAACTATGTTATGATAAGAAGTCTACTGAAGTCAGCTTTGTACCAGGAGACAAGGTGTAGTTGTATAATCCCAGGAAGACCAACGGGAAGTCTCCTAAGTCGTCTTCTCCATGGAAAGGCCCATATGACATAGTGGATCGTTTCTCAGACGTGACCTTCCAAATAAAATGTGGTCGGCGAGGTAAGCCAAACGTGGTGCATGCCAACAGGCTTTGGCGTTATCATGATCCAGGATATTTCAGTTGGGATGAAGTGAACAATGGAACAAAAGATGCCGCTGAAGATGTCTCACCTGGAAAGGCCACTGTTGAAGAAAAACTCTACTCGGTTTTGAGAAGGGAAACAGTGAAGCCCTTCATGAAGTTACTACCACTGATGTGACTATTACCAATAATAGGACATTTCCTGATGGAGCAGATGAACTTTATGTGAAGCAGAAGCCAACAAGATGGAGACCAGTATGGAAGAAGATACGTGTCTTAAAATTAAGAAACTTTGTTGAATTTTAATTTTGTGTTTGTAAATTATGTACATTTAATTAAGTTATTGTTAATTATCTATTGGTTTAATGTAAGTGGCTATTGTTCGGGGAGAACAATTCTAAGGAAGGGGCAGTGGTACGACAGCGGAAGACGCGCGATTCGGGAAACC